TCTTAGCTATTGATACAACTGAGTGATTTTCTTGTCTATTTTAGAGGGCACTTCAGAGTCAACCATAGTGGTGTGGGTCTCGTGTCACCTGTTGGCCAGACCAGGACCAGATGGAAAACGTCCTTTCCTGAAAGATATTCGTGAGCCAGATTATTTTTTATTACTCATAATCGACAATGATTTCCTCATCATCACTAGATTCCTAATTCCTGAGCCTTTTAAAATTTATTTATTTATAACATATGCCCCCAGAGCATTAGCTGAGCTTTCAGATTGAAACTCAAAGGATAGTGCCACTGGACCATAAAGAAAAAGGAACGTTTTCCCTCAGTGGAGTGATCAAGGTGCAGGGGAGATAGTTTCGAAAAAAAACAAAAGAAGCAAGGTGTTTAGAGGGTATATGAGGGTTATTTTTCACAAGAGAATGGTTAGAAACTAGATGCCATTGCTTGTACGGACGGTGAAGGCCGAAACCCCCTTAAAATTGAACGACTATTCGGGTGCATACTTGTGATATCAAGGCAAAGAACTCTATGGTCACGTAATCGAAAATGAGATTTGAACATACAGGTGCTTATTTTTGACTGAGACGGATGTAATGGGCTAAAGGACATTTATCAGTGCAGTAGGCCTCTCTGACTCTTTGACAGAGAAGGGTCAAGTGCAGTGTGGAATTCTACTGCCTCAAATGTGTATGTATGCTTGTCTATATGTTCCTGCTCCACCGAAATCTTGCATGCTTGGATATTTAGTCTTGTCTTCTTTCTCTCAATTGCAGCTAACCGTGCAATGATACTCATCCTAACGCGAAACAGGAAATTTAAACTCAAGAACTTTTCAACTTCATGTTCTGATTTCAATAATGCCTTATTTGCTTTGCAACAAATCGAGCTTACGCTCTGTTATTATGTTTCTTTTCTTGCACCAACCCATTCATTTCTGCAGGAACCCAAGATCTCAGAGCTGAGATCAACAAAAGGTTCAAATACCTTTGGAGAAATATTCCAGAGG